GATCATTAAGTCGTGGTCACGATATACTATGACGTGGCCACGAGTTACTACGTCGTGGCCACGATATAGTTAAATCGTGGGAACGAGATACTATGTCGTTGCCACGAGATACTATATCGTGGCAACGAGATACTATGTCGTGGGAACGAGATATCTAAGTCGTGCTTACGAGATAATTAACCAATAAGATTACACTATGAATTTTTAAACTAAGAAAAAGTTATGTTTAAAGTTTTAAATGCAACATTAATCTTTAAAAATACTGTAGTGTTCACTTAAAACTTAATACATGTCTTTAGAATTATATTATAACAGCACCTTCTAAGGCCCATAAATCAGACATTAATTTTGACCAAGTTATCGCCTTTTGTGGGGATAATTATTTTTAGAATTGGTCAGTTTGTACATACAACGGTCTCACACCGTATTACCGGCGGCAGTGATGGCAGATCTCTGCAGTGATGGCAGATATCTGAAAATTACCGATCGATACAGGTAGGTTATGAATTTGGTTGGTTTTATTATATTACACAAATACGGCCCATTTCTTTGCTATAAAACTATTGTCCATTGAATGGAGATACTGTAAGGTAATTTTGGACTCGTTTTTTCCTGTTTTAAGACTATTTTGAGCAGGTTAAAAGTGACAGCCTCGGAAAAATCCGTGAAAATGTCTGTTTTCTGTTCAAAATATCTCAAGTTTTAAGTAAATGGCAGGATTTCCTGTTATCAATATAGACGTTCATCCATTGGGGTCACGCAAGCCAAATATCTACCCCGTGAGTCTTTTCTTGAAAGTTTTACAGACGCTCAATCTTGTCCGGTCGAAGAAAAAATGCTGCCGTTGTAGGCAGATACATATTATAAATGCTGCCGTCGATGGCAGAAATACCATGAAAGTGGCTAACATTCTGACAGAAAATCAAGTTCAATCTTTTATCAATTCCTCTTTTCTTTGCGACCTTTTAGTCGGAATTGAGACGTTAAACTATCGTTTCTAATATTTTCTCAAGATAGAAAAGTTATTAATGCGGTATGTGCATCGAAAAAAAAGCTTTTTAGCAACATGTAGTTACAATACAAGTACGACAAAATTGCACTATAAATAGAGAAATGAAATAAACTAAACAAAATGTGTGCTTGATCTGTTGTGTCTGTCAGTAACATGCATACAATACTATATGTATCTTAAGTTTAGCAGCGCACTCCCTTTTTAAGACATAACGCCAATTGCATATTACAGCAAGTTGTGGATATATGACATTATTTTCTCGAGGTAATAATGTTCATCGCTTTATGACAAATAAAGGCTGAAATTTACTTAATCGGCGCAGATTGTAAGTTATTAAATTGATGTAATAAAGGGGAGACTATTAACCTCGCAACTGGCATCAGTGTATCATAAAACAATGTATGTTAATGTAAAATGGAAAGATAATATTATTGACAGTTCAAATATTTTCCTATATTATCAAGTTCATGAAAAACACGACAACGTGGATTCATTTCTTTAAATTTTCATGTTTGTAATAGTGTTGTAGTTTGCCTTTGAATTACATTTAGTATGCTAAACTATTAACAACAGTTCTAACATCACGTGCTCCCATTTAACTCTATATTTTTTCATTCATTTTAGTTGTAACCATGACAACTTATAAAGATGAACCTTTCGATGATTCATATCACAAGATGAAAATAAATCCTGTATTTATAGGAAAAAAGCTAGAATTTTTGGTTTGTTGTATACTTTTTCTCTTTTTTGACCTTTCAATTCATAAGACTTCTCCTTTAATTTTGTATATTACCTGAATTAGGAATGAAAGTAGTCCGACAAGACACCATTCAAAAATACGGAAAATATGTTTCGCTGTAGTGAAAAATAAATCTACAGTGAGGCAATGGCTCCAATACTGTGTACATCTTGTGCATTCAAATGTTTCCTTGCTGGAATGTTTTCTTAGATGTCTTTTCAGTAAGACTTTGGTCTTATTACCTCTGCCACAAGTGTCAAAGTCAAATATCTCACTATTAACAGTCTCCTTTAAAGATTCGGCAAGAAACGAGCCATCTAATGGAGCCATTGCCTCGTCTTAATCATTGAAAGGTTCATCTTTATAAGTTGTCATGGTTACAACTAAAATGAATGAAAAAATATATTGTTAAAATGGGAGCATGTGATGTTAGAACTGTTGTTAATAGTTTAGCATGCATGGTAAATGTAATTCAAAGGCAAACTACAACACTATTACAAACATGAAACTTTAAAGACATGAATCCACGTTGTCGTGTTTTTCATGAACTTGATAAGATAATATAGGAAAATATTTGAACTGTCAATAATATTATCTTTCCATTTTACATTAACATACATTGTTTTATGATACACTGATGCCAGTTGCGAGGTTAATAGTCTCCCCTTTATTACATCAATTTAATAACTTACAATCTGCGCCGATTAAGTAAATTTCAGCCTTTATTTGTCATAAAGCGATGAACATTATTACCTCGAGAAAATAATGTCATATGCTAGCAAATGAATATCCACAACTTGCTGTAATATGCAATTGGCGTTATGTCTTAAAAAGGGAGTGCGCTGCTAAACTTAAGATACATATAGTATTGTATGCATGTTACTGACAGACACAACAGATCAAGCACACATGCATGAATATAGAAAAATGAAGTTTTTCATGTTCATTTCTCTATTTATAGTGCAATTTTGTCGTACTTGTATTGTAACTACATGTTGCTAAAAAGCTGTTTTTTCGATGCACATACCGCATTAATAACTTTTCTATCTTGAGAAAATATTAGAAATGATAGTTTAACGTCTCAATTCCGACTAAAAGGACGCAAAGAAAAGAGGAATTGATAAAAGACTGAACTTGATTTTCTGTCAGAATGTTAGCCACTTTCATGGTATTTCTGCCATCGACGGCAGCATTTATAATATGTATCTGCCTACAACGGCAGCATTTTTTCTTCGACCGGACAAGATTGAGCGTCTGTAAAACTTTCAAGAAAAGACTCACGGGGTAGATATTTGGCTTGCGTGACCCCAATGGATGAACGTCTATATTGATAACAGGAAATCCTGTCATTTACTTAAAACTTGAGATATTTTGAACAAAAAACTGACATTTTCACGGATTTTTCCGAGGCTGTCACTTTTTACCTGCTCAAAATAGTCTTAAAACAGGGAAAAAACGAGTCCAAAATTACCTTACTGTATCTCCATTCAATGGACCAAAGAAATGGGCCGTATTTGTGTAATATAATCAAACCAATCAAATTCATAACCTACCTGTATCGATCGGTAATTTTCAGATATCTGCCATCACTGCAGTGATCTGCCATCACTGCCGCCGATGATACGGTGTGGGTCTGTTAACATTGTTTATACGATAACTTGAGTGGTTTATTTTATTTGGTAGGGACAATGCCCATGGACAGCAGATAGCCTATAGGGATGTTTGAAACGAAATATTTTCTCGTAGTCGTTTATTATTCCTATTGAATATCTAAGTTAACACCTTCTTGTTTATTTGGAAGAGTTGGCAGCAGGGGCTATGTAATGTCAAGATGGCCTTTATTAATTAGGCATGTGTCTAGCTAACATTTGATTATATGTCTGACAAAATATGCATGTTTTTCCGTTAAATATTTAAAGAAAGCGAATGATTAGCTTTTAACGGTGCTGCTTATCAAAACAGTGTTGTGGGTTCGAGACTTACTCAGGTCACGACTGTGTTCTTTATACTTCAACGGTACTGTTGAGTTACAGGAAACGGTCTGGAGAGTGTGTGGTTAAAATTGGCTTCAGGGTTTTGTCACACAATTCGACCTAAAGTCAAGACAATGTGTCAGCTTGTCTTTTAATATAATAAGTATGTGCTTTTGATGTTCCATACACGAAATAAATGGAACTCTTTCTGTAATACTCGGCCCTTGTTGTATTGCTTAGCTAAATTCAAAACCCGACAGAAATCATGAAATAAAAAGGGTTATCTCCTTTTAATACTTCTCAGGTTACTGTTCATTTAGGTGCACCGTACAGTGACTTACTTTTGGATGAAAACTCATATCTTTGGCTAATACTCCTTGAAAATTGCATTGAGTTAAATTATTATTACTTCGTGCTTTACAATTAACCCTTTAAAGGCATGACTGATTACATGTCCGGGGTTTGTACTCGGCAGCGAGAGGTGCTTTCTATGCCTTAACGGCGGATGGACCCTCATTATGAATAAATTTTACCACAATATGATCACAATGTGATTTTACATAATCATTTCAACACCAATAGCATTTTGTGTAACTTCTATATTTGAATCATGTTTTATTACATTGATACAAGTTCAAGGTCATATGTTTATTATACGATATAAACAATGCGTGTATCAATTTTTCTCCAAACTGATCTGACACCGCATTATATTCTTCATTTGCGTAAATAAAATGCAATATAATTGACATATCCTGGTTGTACTATCTACCGGTAAGTGTAAGCCTTATTAGGCCCACCATCATATAATACAGAAAAAATCTAAGATAAAATAGTTATTTGCTGTAGAAGCTACCATTTTTTATATAAATAACAATTATCCAAAAGGAATTTTAACTATACACCAAAAAGATAATTCTGTTAATTACCTAGTATGAATTGCAGCCATCTTTGTTCTAAGTAATTAAAGCCAGGAATGACTTTTAAACAATCAGTAAAAAGTAAAAAAAAAACATTGTGTCAATGGTAAATTGCTGCTAATGATACTAAAGTTCTATTCAAGATTTATCACACAGTAAAAGGGTAACAATTTTTGATAAGCATTTGCACACACATTCAAAATGTCATGATGGTTCCAAATCGTTAGTAATACTATTGGCTTTTATGCGTAAAACACATTTATGTGAATAGAATTATTAAAACTTCACCGTAATTTTCTTCAATAAATGCCATATTTTGCATAAATCAATGTGAAAAAACACTTGCATACAAAAGAAACTTTTTATGTAAGTATTATTTGTAATATCTGGACATTCCTGGTACAAAGTACCTCCCGGTATAAAGTACCTTGAGGATACATTGAAATCAAGGTAATAACATATACTTAATGCGAAAGAAACACAAACAAGAATATTAACATAAAATACATGTTAGCATAACGTTCCATTTTCAAATTGAAGGTTTATAATTGCACCAGTACACCTGAAAACGTATTCCAGTAGTTACCTGTAGCTCTTAATGTACTACTACCGGCAGAACACTTTACGTTAACTTTTGAATCTTTTTGAAGTACGGCAACAGTGTCTGTAGTGTAACATGTCTTCCATTTCTCATCACAGAACCATCCTTTCTTTATATCAACACCATCCGCAACTATTGCATAATACATATCTTTCCCACCATCAACACAAAGCTGCACAGAAAACGTATATGTTCCCGCTACAGGTGCTGTAAATATCCCGCTCTTGTTATCATACCCGAGACCTTCGTTCAACGTCGTCGTCTTAAACACAAGCGTTTCCCCAGAACTTGGTGAATGGTCAACAAGGTCATTACTTCTGAATGCGACTGTGGGTCCTAGATAAATGTAATTTAAATGTTTGTAAACAATATGTTGTGGGTGACAAAAGCATGTTTAAATTGAAATATATGTTATCAATAGATTAAACAAAGTTTATATTCATCTTTAATATTCATTATTTTTACTAACTCCTTAACAAGTACAATTTGTTGAAAAACTATTTTTTATTTTAATTGAAGGAACACTTGTTGATGAATACAACACTGTATACAATCACTATCTCTTTTACCATCAGCTTAAAAATAATGTCAACTAAGTTAAGGATAATTTTACCTTTCAGTTTTTCTAAATCAGCAGCAAAGTTTCGAATACTTCTATTTGTTTCCTCTGTCATTTCGTTGGTCACACGTTTCAACTTTGCCATTTCATTCTGAATGCTTTTATTGGTTCCCTCCATGAAGTCGTTTGTTTCACGTTCCAATTTTATCTTTTCATTATTCCAGTCGTCACTAAGCTGCTGTGTTGTTTCTGTCAGCTTTCCCAGGGTGTCAAGCACTTGCTGCTGCGTTGCCGCCATATCCGCCTGCAGTTTTTCCATGGCTATTTCCTGTCGAATCATTTTGTTTAAAGTTTGTTCCTCATAGTGGAATCTGGAACATTCTGGTTCCGACAGCACTGCAGTGATAAACAGTAAGGTAACTAAACGTTGAAACATGTTTATGTTTTGCCTCTTTCGAAGGAACAACTGCGATCTTCAAAGGCAGGAGTCTTTTATGCTAGGATACTTGTAATGAAATAATTTGTAGAAGGGTTGTTTCACAAGTTATCATATTTGATTTAGATTTGTTCATTCTTTGAGTAATTTAGAATCATTCAATGCTTTTTTAACTATCAGTTATCACAAAATGCTAGTAATGTCATCCTCTTATATGTTTATTCATTATTATTTCATTATATTAAGTTAGGCTTCAATGAAATTGAGTGTTGATAAAATCATTGTAAAAAATGAGAAAAATGATCAACAAGGCAAAGCAACGTTCAACGACACAAACTAGCCACGCCAATAACTGCATAACTTTATCACATGAAAGAATCCAAAGTCCATTTCATGTCTCAAACTCATAGCGGTGGGGTACAAGTTGTTTAAAGTTAACAATCTTAACCACTCGACCACAGATGCCTCTACGACGGTAACTGACACACCTTGAATTAAACATCTTTGCTATATTTGAATACAATACCGGCCAGTAAACTAGTGTACGTTAAAAGATTCTTTGTTCATCTTATTTTTCATCGTTTGCATTACGAGTTATGTGTTTGTTTTCAGTTTGTTTTTGTTTTCTTTCAGAAATTACATTTATCGTGTTGACGTCAAATTCAGATAGTCATAACACAATTAATGGTGTTTGGGCTATTATTGTTTATAACAATAAGTCATTATATTGACCCATTATATTGAGTTTTGTTATAATGGACATTCATATTCATACAGTTTATACCTTGCAACAGACGATTACAGCGGCATACAATGTAAATGATTGATTGCATGCTGTGGGCCGAGATTAATAGGACCCTGTTATATGCCATGTATTGTTTACTTTCGTATGAATACATGTTTACCTAGATAAGGTGTTCTTTTCTCGGACGAATTTCATTTATGTATGATAAAGTATCATGTAAGTAAACATATACTTTCTTTTTGTATATAGATATATTATTAACCATCCCTCTGGTGGCTGCTAAATTTTTCTGTTTTTATGCTACTTTCCTAGATCACATCAATGTTTATCACATTAGGTATAACCTGTTCTTGTTTTACATATTTTGAAATAGTGCTAATGTTATCATTTATTATTTTGGAACAACACCAACTGATGGCGGAAAAGATAAATTTGACGTCAATTTTGCGTTAATCAACAACAGAAATTTCAAAGAAACAGATTCTAAACAGACAGTGCTGTTCTTCGTTATCATGATTTTGTCGGCTAACTTTTTCATCAATTTCACATGGTTAATAAAGCCTCATGCCTATCGAATTATGTTGTAAGTTCAAGATAGAAACTTGAAAAAGGATTTCATAAATGTCTTTTCAATTGCTTATTTTGAAAAGCTAAGAATTGTTTATCGTCCTTTCAATTTATATACTTTGCAATTTAAAAGCAGAATATGATCAATCGGATTAAATATTCAAGATGTTTTAATAGTTAAGAAAATACCAACTTATATCAGTATCTACTTATACCAAAAGACGTCTTGTTTCCATTTGTTTTCTTTATTAAACGGTAATTCCAATGTGTACAATATTTTACAAAATGAATGACTTAAAATTTGTCTAAATAATAAATTCATTATAACACCTGTATTCTTTTTTTTGTAAAATGACACTGAATCAAGTCGAATGGCATCTTCGCATTGTGCATATCATTACATGTTTTACCTTTATGACAATCCATAAAAATAGTTTACTCCAAGACAGGGGCATTCTGAAAGCCAAAGCCACTTGTTAAGTGAAAGCTTACCAGAAGAAAGAGTCACCGTGTCTCATCTTTACACAGTTTAATGTATTGGTTGCATCCCTTTATATACTTTACTATCGCTCATAAAATTGTTGTCTTTGGAGATGAAAAGCGTGTATTATAGGGAAATTGTCACTCTGATGTAATCAAGGATACTTCTACGGGTTTTAGCTTTTTGGTGGAATATTCCATATATATATCTATATATATTTACATCCTGAAACAGGGAGAGATATCGACAACGTAACATTATAATAAATGTCATAAAATGTGAAATGTTAAATTTCATCTGATATCGAGTGATGTTTGAATAATCAAACACTACTATATTTACGCTAAAGCGGACGCAATGTTGAATATAATGTAATTTAAACGTAAAAAATGCTCTTTTAATGTATTCAACCTCCTTAAACTTAAAATAAAACAGACACTGCAGTTCATTCGACTGTTTAGATTAAATCAAACCCGTACAATTGTTTAAGTAATTTCACAAATTGAATATATTAGATTATTTCATAGAATTCTGAGTTCATGTTTTAGATGGATTTCACAATTTTGCCCTATTTTTTTCTTAATAAAATTACATTGAAGCGTACTGTAATGTACACTTCTTCAATACAGTGTATATTTCGTTACGAGTTTTGCTGTAAAGTACTTTGAATTTTCAATTTATTGTTTCTAAAAAAATTAAGAAAATGAAAAATTAAGTTTTAATAATTCATATTTTGCATCATTCATGCTGAAGTTGTTATGATACCATTTCTAAATGTTTTAATGACAGTACGAAGCGAAATCATTACGCGCCGCAACTCAATTCCTAACTTGAACACCACCAGTGCTTCGTTCCAATTTCAGTTTTGCAATTTCTGGTGCTTCTCTTGTACTTGTAAGAAGACGAAAAAAACAGTATTAATGTAGATAGGTATTTTATTCTGGCGAATTTTCGATAATTTTTATCAATTGTTTTTTCTTTAGTTGCAACCGTAGTTAGACATTCCTACTGTTTTTTTTCTCAGCTCATTAAAATATGTTTAGAGAGATTAAATTGCAAAAGTCTTCGTCCCTCCGCTTCGTTGAACACATACTTAATAGCAAATGCTCTAGTTACGTCAAATAATAATGAAAGAAGTTGTAGAATACAATTTATTTAAACTTTGCATGATTTTAAAACATGATAACCGAAATATTTCAAGAAAAATCAATTCTTGGTCATCAAGCTCGTTTTCGAGTAAACTGTCCCTGAGATTGAATCCTTTACTGATTTCATTTGCAGTTAATTCACAAACAAAGCTAAGATGGCCTTAAGATTGTTGTTTTTGTAATAGATATCTTTGTTATAAAGAGATTGCCTCTGCAAACATAGTAAGCGAGAAACAAAATTTACTGTCCTCGAAAACTTCAGAAGATAGCAGCATTTAAAGCAGCATCCCTACATATTCAACTAATGTTCATGCAATTAAAACAAAAGTAATTCAAAGTAAAAACATTGTGTAGTGAACAAATAAAGTACTTTACACATTGCAAATGACATTTACTACCCATGCAAAATAGCAAAAAAGAGGAAATAATGTTCGAAAATAGCAATTATTGTGTTAGTCACGCAGCTGAAACCTGGTGATAAATACTATAAAACCAACTATTCATCGCTTATAACATGTTAATTATAACTTGATATTATTTTTTAAAATGTTTCTTTAAGACAAAAGTTTCATTTCTTAGTTTTGAATTTTTAATTCATTATTCTGTAAATGCCCTAAAAATGAATATATTAGACAGTCAAAGGAACAAAACATTTTCCATATAAAGAATAACTTGACGCGTGGGTCAGGTTAGAGCGCTACCATTTCACAATAGTTGTCGAAGTGAACTCTGGAAACGTTAAAAATCATGTCAAATGAATGACTTAGTCTTGTTTCAATCATACAATATCCACATTATCTGTCTATGTAACTTCAAGGGTTTGTTCAAGTAACTTGACTTGTTTAAAAACTACTTGATGATTTTATTGGCGTCAAAATTTTGTACAACATATATAGATATATTTATGCTTCAAACCCAAAATATATAGAATTTAAACAGAAATTCATGCTGAAACTTCAAGAAAAGTCCTTTACGCTTTATTTGAGTACATTGGATCATTTTAATATTCATTATTGTGCCGGAATATCCCTTATCCCTTTAAAGTCTTTTTCTAAGCTTATCTGAAGGCATGCCACTTTAAACCTTGTTTAACTGATTGTTTCTATGACAAATCAAATAATCAAGAACTTTTTTTATCACAAATTATTCTTTTGATATATCTATTCTTCCACTGTTTAACGGGAAATCTATTTTGAACAGAAATGCATATATCCACTGTTCAATTACGTATAATTGAATAGATTAAAAGCACTGGAAACGCGAAGGTAACCTAAAAGCAATGAAAAACAAAAACAAATACTATTAAAAAGATTAGTAGACCCGGCAAAAGATATATATGAGAATATCTTAAGCCCCTCTCTAGCTACCCAAGAAGTAATCTGTGTTTATTACTAAAATGTTTTAAAATCAATGATCCAGAAGAACTTGAAAAATGTATTTACATCAAGATGTAGGACACCGCAAGTTGTAGGTCAATGATAAACTAAAATAACGTGTCTGCACATCGCTTGTTTTGTCTATTCTATGTTTAAAATAGAAGTTTACAATGGACATTAAACACTAAAAGGGACTCGCCTGAGTTCCTTTAACATTATTTAAAAATTTGAAGACCATTTAATTTAGGTTTGTTTTATAGTGGAGTGGTCTCCAATGGTCACATTTATCATACATAGTATACATATTTCAAATATTGATAAAACAATAGGAATGTATCACTTGGATACTCTTATTAAAGTTGCATGAAAAAAGTTGATGATAAAGTTCTTAATAATTTAGAATGACCATTTATCTGATGAATAATAGTATTTTGTTTAAAAACGTTTTATTATCTGCTATATGAATTTATGTAATACCGGACCATGTATCTCACACTTGCCAATAAGTTCCAAATAAAATTAGTTCACGGATTGTTTTTATGTCTGATACTCAACACTTTCAATATAAAGCGCACCTTTCATTTATTGACCAATTTACTTTAAGGGAAAATTTGATATCTGTTTAAAAAAATCAAAATTTATATTTCGGGACTGTTAGATCTCAGAGGAGTTTCTTTAAAACCTGCTCTCTTGTTGATTTTTTCTCTCCCCTTTTTTGGGGGGGGGGGAGGGGG